GCACTGCTCAACCTCTTTCGCCTTCGTTTTTTTTCTTCTTCTCCCTATCTGTACCCTGCTGCTGTCGTTCAACTGTTCTCCTCTCGCTCCTGGCCTCCTCTCCTCGGCCCTCTCGCCTCCCCCCCTTTTCTCTCTCTCTCTCTCTCCTTCACTCCCTTTCCTCTGCTTTCCCTCAGACACAACCTCCCTGTAAAGCTGAGATTTTCGATTCTAGAAAGTGGGCCCTCGAACATGCATCTGACTGCAATGACGGCCAGAGCTGGATGAATCTGGCTGCAATCACGTCCAGAACTTTGTAGAAAAGGAGAGGAGGCAAGAAGCGAGTATATCCGCGAACTGCCACACTCAGGGCATACTCACTCACACGAGCACGTCCCCCAAACATGCATCTGACTGCAATGGCGGCGGCCAGACCTGGATGAATCTGACTGCAATCACGTCCAGAGCTTTGTAGAAAAAAGTCCGAGTGCGAGTATGTCCTCAAGGCAGCACTGTCATTTGTTTTTTGCTCCCCCTCCTCCCCTCCCTTTCCTTCCTTCCCCTTCCGTCCCTACCCCTCCTCCCCTCCCTTTCCTCCCCTCCCCTTCCTCCCCCTCCCCTTCCGTTCGTACCCCTCCACCTCTCCCAACCTCGGCTCTGGATGATAGTATACAGAAAAAAATATCATGATCGACGGTGTGGAAGAATTGCGCCCTTGGGTCCTCGCTCCACTACTCGACGCATGCACGAAAGACAAAAAGTACGGTGGTGTATCTTCCCTTGTTCTAGCGGGAGATTCATTCTTATTTTGCACATTTGGTGCGTAGTGGAGCGAGACCCTCGGCCTTGGGACTGTGTGAAATGCGACAGTTGTCATAATATAATGTCTGCTTCCGACCAGGCCTTCATTTTTTGAATTTTTAATATTTTTTTATTGTTTTTCCTTTTTTTTTTTTTCCAATTTTAGCTGTCGTAATGTGCTCAGGGGCCATTGCTAATCTGCTCCGTATCGTTCCAATTTTAGCTGATGTCCTCAAGGACCCAGGTCTTTATTTCATTTCACTCCGTTTAAAAAAAAATAAAAAAATAAAAAATCGTATCTGTATCCTTCCAGTTTATTTCACTTTCGCTAGCATGAAAAGAAAAAAAAAGAAAAGGAAAAAAAAAAGACGTAAGAACCAACAAAAAACCATGTTGAACCCTAGCCACACAAGTCATCCCCGTAATTTGCCACCGACGTGGGTTTAGATCCTCCCAAGGCCCGTTAGGACTTCTCCCTTCAACCTGTTCATGGCTAGATCAGTCGGTTTCAGGTCAAAAAAAGAGGAAAAAAATGAAAAAACTGAAAAAAAACTGAAAAAAAGATTAAAAAAAAAAAAAAAGGCAAAATCGATACGTTTATTTACAATTTCAGTAGTCCGGAAAAAAAAATATCGATGGAACTGTTTACAATTTCAGTAGTCAGGAATTTTTTTTTTCGGTGCAACTCTTTACAATTTCATGGCGTTTTGGCTAAGATCAAGTGCATATTTTTTCCTTTTTTTTTCTTTTCATTTCTTTGTTTTTTTTTTTTTTTTTTTTTTTTTTTTTTTTTTTTTTTTGATATTAAAAAAAAAAACAATTTCAGTACGTCTACCCATCCGCCTCGCGCCTCACCATTTTGGCGACAACACTTTCGTTTTATTTTTCTTCTTCTTTGTCGTCTTTTTTTTTTTAATCCAATAAACCTCCGTTTTATTGGTGGGGAGCAGCAGCTGCTGGAAACCGGGTCCAGCATCCCATCTTTAAAATGCAATAAATAAATATATTATAAATAAAGATGGTGTCTCATATATTATTATAAATAAACGAGGGCCGATGTGTGGTGTACTGGTGCTTTAATTAATACCCACGTAATTATGATGATCACCCAAATACCATTAACCAAAAAAAATAAAAAATAAAATAAGTGGACGCCAGCCAGCACTTCGTAAATAGGTTAAGATTTTTTTTTGACAACTAGCAAAGCGAAAAGTTATTTTATTTATTTATTATATCACATTATGATTGTTAGTTTTGTTTTTATTTTTTAGCCGAAGTTTTTTTGTTTTTTTTTAATAATTATACACCTGTCGGGGATTTATACAGTCGTTTTGAAAAAAAAACAATCTGCCACAAGCAACCAAAACTTGGAAAAGAAAACGGTTTTGATGAATGGGTTTAAACAAACCACCAGTAGTACTTCCTAGAGTCGTGCCCGTTAACGCGCCACGATTTTAGGAAACGTACGGGCCACTACAGGAGTGTCCAAATTCATCCGACTAGAAATGTTTCTAGTCCTTTTTTTTTTTCCGCGGCCGATAACTGGGCCAAGTACTGGTGGTTTAAACCACCACGCTACCTTTCCCATATGTCGGCCGCGGGCATCTAGTAGAGTCTACTCTTGAAAAATAGCCGTTACACTGCCGTCGATGATATTTTCCATTTTTCATCGACGGCGCATGGCGGCCGAATTTGAATTTTGAGGCCTGCGGTGAGAAAGGTAGTGGTGGGGTTTAATAGAAGTTGAAATATAGAATATCAAAATAAAAATAGTTTCGATTTTTTTTTTTTTTTAACACCCTCGGAATCTGATGATCTAATAATTAATTATTAATTCTTTAAAGAATCTTTTCTGCGGCATGTCCAAGTTCCCCCAGGCCAGTTTGGCAATGTGGTTTACCCGCGTGATTACGAAATCCTAGGGCTACGCTTTTTTTTTTTTTTTAAATAGATTGTTTTTTTTGGACCTTTTCTCGATTTATACGTGTCATTCTTGCGCAGGGGCCATGCTAATCTCTTTTTTTTTAAAATAAAATTTGACCATTTCTCCATTTATTTGTGTCATCCTTGCGCAGGGGCTATGCTTTTTTTTTAATTCAATAAAATGAATTTGGACCTTTTCTCAAGTTATGCGTGTCGTCTGTGTGCAGGGGCCATTCTTATCTTCTTTGTATCGTTCCAATTTTATATCCAGTTCTTTTTTCAGTTAAAAAAAATCAACAAAATCTGTGATGCACAGTCCTGCTTGAAGACTGGAGATCAGGGTCTAAGTATATTTCTTTTTTTTTTTCTTTTTCTTTTTCTTTGTGTGTGTGTGTGGTCCGATTGACCACGGATCAGATATTAAAACTGATCAGAACAGATACTACACTTGATCTTAGCCGAAAGGCCGAGAAAGGTATTCTAAATATATATTTCACTAAATCCGAAATCCGATATTTGTATTTATCCCCATTATCCCCATTATCCCCATTGAGAGGCATCCCAAGCCCATTGTGCCTTCTGGTCTTCAGGTAGACCAGCAAACGGCACAAATGATGTAGAGTCTGCAATTAAGGAGCATTACACTTTCGAGGCATTGGAAGTACTGTGTTAACCCGAATACAACGCCCGGGCATTATCACAGTATCTTCTGGACATTAAACCACCAGTACTTCCTAAAGTCGTGTCCGTTAACGCGCCACGATTTTAGGAAACGTACGGGACACTACAGGAGCGCCCAAATTCATCCAACTAGAAACGTTTCTACTCTATTTTTTCCCGCGGCCAATATCTGGGCCAAGTACTGGCGGCTTAAGTTGCCCCAAATACACCTATAATGACCAGGCGTTGTATTCGGGCGAGGACGGTAGTAGTTTTACCAGTATCCTCTTCCCTCTGCGCCTCCCCTTCCCCTGTGCCCCCCCGCCCATTCAACGAGCTTCCTTCGTATTGAAAAAAAGAAAAGGTAAAGCTGTCATATCATCGAGCAAAGTTCTGTGAGTGTGGCTCATGTGATAACCCTCTCAACGTTCTGAGCCACGACCTAACACCGATGTTAGTCTTGCCAGCTGGAATTGATCCTCCTCTCCGCCTCTCCGCTTTTGAAAAAAAAGAGAAGCGAAAGCTGTCACGCCCTCAAGCAAGGTGAGTGAGGGTGGCTGACGTCATACCCGTCTCAGGCGCACTCACACGAGACCCTCAAAATTGCAGAATTGCAGAAACGAGCGGCCAGATCGAGTCCTCCTCGATCTGGCCGCTCATTTTCTCGCTCATTTTGTGATTCTGCGATTTTGAGGGCCTCATGTGAGTACGCCCTCCCAGTTTTTCGAAAAGACCTATGTACCTGTCCTTCGCGACATCCGTTAAAAATTGGAACGATACAGAGAAAGAAGATTAGCATGGCCCCTGAGCAAGGATGACACGCATAAATCGAGAAATGGTCCAAAAAAAAAAAAAAAAAAAAAAAAAAAAAARACCTATGTACCCTCCTCACACGGACCTTAACACGGATGTTAGTTTTGCGAGTTGAAACTGATCCTCCTCAGTGGAGTAAGTCAATTCCCACAGGTCATTTTGTAAGTATGCGTTGGGGAAATCTGAAAGTCCCACTTGGGTGGCTTGAGGAGAAGCAGGGGCAAGGGTGAGGGGCCGTGAGAGGGGGGGGGGGGKGTTGCAGAAAGGGGAAATAAGGTGCTTTTCCCGATTATTGGATGTAATAGAAGTCATGGGCTTTTGAAGAGATCTTTGTAGCCTGTGTTCTTTTGGGTGTTTTTTTTTTTTCTTTCCCCATGAAGCTTGCTTGCATGTCTAAGACCATTCAATCGCTTTATGTACAATCCTGCAGCATATACTCACACTCGGGACTTTTCCTGAATGTATCTGTTCAGATCTGGCTGGATCCACAATCAGATACGTTCAGAGAAGTCCTAGTGAGAGTATACCCTAGCCTACGACATATCCAGAATCTCCTGCACGCTTCAGGATACTATCCCTAAGAGGGGGACTCTTAGCTACCGTTTTCCCCCGAACATAACAAATATGCATCTGACCCGAAATATGGCCAGGTGAGTGACGAAAGCACTGTCCTGGATGTGTCCGACTATAATTTTTTTTTTGGCCAGGTCAGCGACGAAAGAATCCTTCTCAGCTCGCCCTAAGATTAAATCTGGCTTCGTACAGCAGACACAATTTTGACCTTTTACCAGTTCCTTGGCGGCGTTGGCGCTCTAACCGGGTTGGGAGAGTTGGTTGGTGTTCGAGTAGCAGGCTGCCTTCTGTTTTATTTTGTTTTTCCCCATGCTCCATCCAGGTACTTGCCAATTGTATGCATTCAATTAATCCCGGCCTCTTCCCCGTCCCCTCCCCCCTCTCTCTCCACCTCCTCCTTTCCCCTGTCCCCTCCCCCCAGCCCCCCTGCTCCCGAGCTGCCTAACCTCCCAACCACCTTCCTTCATCTGGTGATGTTGGAGCACCTCTCCTTCTTTTCCCCTGTCCCCTCCCCGCGATCCCCCTGCTCCCCGGCTGCCTATGCTCCCGTCCACCTTCCTTTCTCTGTAAATGATGTCGGAGCCACACCCTCCTCTGACACGCTATGATTGAAATGAGAGCCTTCGGCTTCAGCTGTTTTTCTGCATCTTTCTTTTTCTTTGTCCAATTGTTTGGCCTTTCTGCTCTCTTGGCAAATGGGAAGACGGCGGCTGTATCATTCCAATTGATAAACTGGAGGGAGGCGCTCACCAATTTTCACATCTCGTTGAGGACTGGAGCGAAGCCCTTTGTCTGTATCTTACGAACAGTTCCCCCCAGGAATCCTCAATTGTAGATTGGCACGTAAGAGGACTGAGACACTGGAGGTTCAAATGGCATGCCCACTACACTCGCCCTACCTAAAATGTATTCAACCACGTGTATGGCCGGACCTGGATGCATCTGACTGCAATTACGCCCATAAATAAGTAAAAAAGTCCTTGTGTGTGAGTATTGCCCCAAGTCTCATATTTGTAACTTGGTGCAATTTACACTAGTCGTTCGTTGCCTTAGCCTGTTTTGGTTTTGGTTTTGGTTTTGTTCAATATGTCCCCACGTCATTAGTGGTGTTGAGTTTGTACATGGGACGATATATATGTTTGAAATTTGAACTTTGATGATATATATGTTGTCAGATGGTAAAGGTAGTCTGACATTATTTCTCCTGACGTGTCGGTGAAACTGCACCGGAACAGTTTGTCACAACCCCTTGTTTTTTGTCCTCTTCGCCCTCTCTGCCTACTGTTCACTGGGCAGTTCTCTATGACTATATATACACAGCCCCTCGTTTGTCGTCCTCTTCGTCCTCTCTGCCTGTATGGTTTGCCGGACAGTTCTGTTCAACCATGAAGGGGGAGTTAAAAGAAGAATGAGAAAAATGAATGGTTTGAATTGGTTTCAGTATGCCCCTCATCTCTGTCTTGTTCTTTAATCTTTTTGCCGTTTGTTTCATAAAGTGCACTCTTTTAGTTCATAGTTATGTGACGATATAGTCCGTGAAACTCCGACGAAACAGTTTGTCACAGCCCCTCGTTTGTTGTCCTCTTCTCCCTCTCTGTCCATGGTTTACCGTGCAGTTCTGTTTGACGATGTATGCCACGACTTGGATAGCACCTTGCTACGGTTTTCTCCGGTCAGGTTGAGCGTCTGTGGTCGGGGCCGTTGCTACGCGGCCATGCTGTGCCTCCAGTGCCAGCGGCATGTCTGGAGTGTATTTTCTGGCTGTGATAGACCTTTCTTTGTTTCGTGGGTGTTTTGCTGGCTTGTCATGGGGCGTGAACCAACAGTCTGTACAGTTTTCCATCTGGTGTGGGTGAGTGATAGTCTGCTTTGATTCTCGTCACAGGTACCTTGACCGAGCAGCTCTGTTTGACCATATATATATATATATGCCTCTAGTGCCAGCAACGTGTCTGGAGTGTATTGTTTTGCTGTGACAGACCTTTCTTTGTTTCGTGGGTGTTTTGCTGCGGTGCTTAGACACGGGTGGAGGTCGTTGCCAGCCCAACCCATAACCCTTAGCTGCCCCAGCTGGTGTGCACAGATAAACTACTGTGGAACAAAAGAGCTAGCGACTGGATTTAGGACTTAGTTAGGAAGGACAGGTAGAGTGAGGCATATGAGTTAAGAATATATACAATAAAGCTTAGTTTTAAAAGTAAATAAAAAACATAGGCTGATAGGTTATTCTAAGCTTATTTGACTTTTGTCAGCTCTCTCGTACCCTGTGTCTGTCTTTTCGGTGTTTGGTACATGACAGGTACAGTTTACTGGCGGCTTGGAACTTGCCTTGCCCGCGGCGTTGACTCGGCAAGGCCGTTCCCCCTCAACAATAATAGAGTTCGCCTTCCTCATCGTTCAATAAGGTAACAGGAGATTGCTAGAAATCGTAATTGGTTCTGTCCATCTATTTAGTTGGAGTAGCATACATACCTTTGTTTCTTCTCTGTCCTAAGATGGACATTGTAGTATTCCATCCTTTCTTCTTTCTCCTGACATGCCCAGGTTGCCGTCTTGGTCTGCGCGAACCGCTTCCGAAAGGGGAGGAGGAGCTTACTTGCTTAACTTTTGTCAAAAGCTGACTTGGACAACCTAGCACCGGAGGAATGGTGTCAAAAGGGTGGGTGTGAGGGGGGAGTGGTTGGAGTAGAGAAAGGGTCTGTGGGTGCGTGGTGAAAGTGGTAGGAGTGGAGAAATAGGATTTATGTTTTCTTTTGAGGGTGGGCAAGTGTCGTGTGGTTGCTTTTAGGCTGTTGTGCTTGAACTTACATATGCTTCAGGCAAGTGTCCCTTGCTCCCAATGGCATCATCATGTGCTAGCAGGGTTGGCTTGGTGGGGGTAGAGAAAGTGTCTGTGGGTGTGTGTTGAAAGTGGTAGGAGTGGACAAAAATGATTTTTCTTTGTTTTGAGGGTGGGTGAGTGTGCTGTGGTTGCTTTCATGCTGTCTTACTTGAACTTATATATGCTTCAGGCAAGTGCACCTTGCTCCCATCATCATGTGGTGGCGAGGTTCGCTCGACTCCTCCTGAGTGTTAGGAGTTAGAACCCATCTGTGCAGCAGTATCCAAATCGGGCCCCCAGAGTGAAATGAGCTAAGTCCAGTCATTTGCTTATCTGGTACAAGGTAGAAGTCTGACAGAGGTTCATGTGGTGCTGGGATCCAGGACAGGGAGTGGGTTCATGACATGCAGAATGAAAGGATTACCTCGACGACGAGGCTGTGTTCGTGCGTTCGCCGGTGGATTAGCTGACACTGTCAAATAACCGAGGCCTGCTGCGGTCTTGTCCGATCTCGGCCCTGGTGCAGCTGCTGCCGGGCCAAGGACTTGTTGCCGTAGCTTTCTGGCTAATGAAAGGCGGGTGGTCCGCGGCAGCAGCAGCAGAAGCCGAAGGCGAAGAAGATGGCTTCCTGTCCTGACCTTCTCAACGTGCTGCCGGATTCCCTCGTTGTGAAGATCCTTGGCGAAGCAGTCCATCATGCGAAGGCGCTAGTCCGATGTGCAACCGTTTGCAAGCGGTTTTCGCGCCTTGTCTGGCAGGTGAGTTCCGGAACTCGAGGCGTCACCGATACATCTTAAAATTAAAAGGTTATACAGAAGAAACTGACAGAAAGTGACAAAGCTTCTTCTAATTTCCTTAATCAGAAATGCGATCTGGTCAGAGCCTGACCTATTCTTACTGGAACTGGTAAGGGTGGTTGTACCAGCAAGGCCAGGATTTCCTGGGCATTTTTACTTTTATTTACATAATAATAATAATTTCATTCAAACACAAATAGAGTCGAGCGTTCCACCGCTGCCTTCTTTCCCTGATTACACCGAACGGTCATTATAGCCGTATTTAGACTGAAAGATACCCCGAATGCAGCTATGATGACCGTACGTTGTATTCAGGGGAAGAAGGTAGGCTCTGTGAGTCATGCCTGGTGAATGACAGTGTTCTAGAGACACTGTGGGGCCTTCGAATGTAGTGAAAAACAGCTTGGTCTCACATGTGCTTGTCTATGGTTTACCATCAAGTGTGGGCTCACAAGAATGATTTTTTGTTTCCCTTTTCCGTCTCTACGAAGCTCTTGGGATTATTGTATTGTTTCACAAATTCGCACAGTTTTTTTTTTTTTTTTTTCGTTTTTTTGGGAGGCAACCCCCCTGGACATAACTTCTGCGTGATTTCTGAAACTTGTAAAACAGGACGTTGGGCCCGTTTCCCAGCAGGTGCAGCTCCCCACTAATAGACGGAGCCTCCCTGGGAGTAGCTTGAGATGTCTGCTCCTACCGGCATCTCAAGCTGCCTCTGGGGATCGTTCTGCTTAAAATAAAAATAAAAAATTTTAAATTCGCACAGGATTTCTCGACCTGTTGACCAATAATTATGTGGTGTGCTCTGTGCAGAAACCACTAAGGATGCTCAAGCAAGAACATGACTTCTGGATGTGATTCTGGAAACCTGAAATCGGTTTCAGGTTTTCAGACTTGTGTATAATGTGTACGGTATGATGTTGTGACTGGCGAACCACCTTGCAGAATAGTTTATTCAAGTTTATTGGCTTGAATGCTATAATGGATAAAAAAAATCCCGGGCGCCCGGGTCCCAACGTCACGCCCAGTCTGGCGACCCGGTGACCGGCCGGGCATGACCCCCGGGCATGGGCCCGGGCAGCCCCAGCGCAAAAAAAAAAGATTAAAAAAATCCAAAAAACTGCAAAAAATTCTGGAACAACAAATGCTGTGTAGAATTGCAATACAACAACTTTTGGCTGAGGGGCACATCAGAATTCCTCACGGATCTGAAGAAAAAAAAAGAAAAAAACCAAATCACACTAAGGCATCTCCCTTTAAAGTTTAAACCCCTTTAGCCCCTTTAAAATTCATTTATACTCCCCTTCCCCCCCCCCCCCTTGACAGCCAACACTCAAAAACAGAAAAGAGCCTGGATGACCGGCTGGTCCAGACTGGCCGGTCATGAAAATCTTCCTAGATAGATTATACTGATACCTGCGACGTTGATTTCTCGAAGAATGAATGGAAGCCTGAAAACCTGCGCTAGGCTTATCAGAGCTGAGTGTAGGCTTTTGAAACGGTTTTCACCTTTTAGCAGTAGCGAATGCCGATCCCAGGGCTCGATCCCTAGTTCTCACCTTACCTGTGTACAGTATCTGTGTTGACCCCGACTGTTTGAACCCGTGACCTGTGTTTTGACAGTTGTGATTGTCCGTCGTAGGTCTGTGCAGTGGTAGGGGTTTGATCTGTAGGTCTGTCGAGTAGGAGTCACAGCCCTGTAGAGGTCGTAGCTGTAGGGACCCTGAAAGGTCAAGTTCGTAGCTGCTACAGTCCTGAGAGGTCAAGGCCGTAGCTGCTACAGTACTCGAAAGGCCAAAGTCCATGAACTTCCGGAAGGTCCGGAAGTGGCCTTTCGAAGCTGCTCACGTTTGAGACGGAGGCAAGTGGGCAAGTGGTGGAGTCTATCCGTCCTGAGTCAACAGTCCCAGTCCCAGTCAGTCCTAGTCCAGTCCAGCAAGTACTGTACGGGACTGTGTGCACCACGGGCATGGGAAAGGGCCAGACCAACGAGCCACAGAAGTATAAATTGAGAGGCAGCGACCAGCCATTCATTCATTTCCTGCGTAAGCCATGCGGAAGCGCTGCCATAGCGACTTGTGCGAGGTGGTCTGCAGTGAGCCCGAGGACGAAGTGGGCGAGAAGAAGCTTAGCCATAGCGATAGGGTAGCAGCGGCCATAGCCGCCATAGCTGTAGATGTGTGCGGGTGTGTGTGAGTGTACAGAGTGTGTTGTGTGTGGGGTATCCAGGGTGGTCCGGTGTGTGAACAACAGTGTTGTGTGAGTGACGAACAGAGATTTGTATAGGCACTGATGCGCCATAGCCCTCACCCAGATTCTGTGTGTTTTGGTATATGCTTGCTGATTGGGATCCGTGCTGGGGAAAGGTCCCACTTACCCAGATTCTGTGTGTTTTGGCGGCTCATCCTTTGTGTGTGTGTGTGTGTGTGTGTGTGTGTGTGTGTGTGTGTGTGTGTGTGTTTTCTGTGTTCGGCTGCTGATCTTGTCATCAACGGTCCAGAAGAAAGGATCCATATAACTAGGTCTTCACATCGTATTGCTCTACCACCTCCACCTGGGTAAGCGGTCGGATGAGGGTGAGAAATGGATAGTGACATTCAGCTTTTTATACTGGATATGGTGATATTCAGGTTCTTAATACTTTTTATACTTGCCCAAGTTACCTTAAGCTTAATATATTATACTACCGTCTTCACCCGAATAGAATGCCCGGTCATTATCGCTGCATCTGGACTGAAAGTTGCCTCAAATGCAGCTATAATGACCGGGTGTTCTATTCGGGTGAAGACAGTAGCCTCCTTGCTACTACCAGTTGTAATCAAACAGAGCCACCGTCCGATTGGTCCTGAATCAGATGGCAAACCAAGCGCTCCGTCGCTGGCGAACGTGGTACAGAATATGTGGATGATACGGTCTGCTTCATCCAGTTGGTCCAGCACGATGTTCCTGGGAAATGGGTTCCAGCGGACCCAGTTTCCATAACAAATAGAAAAGAAAAGGGGAAGGAAAAGACTGCCCTTGTTTGCGAGCAAAAGTAGACCGTATCCATGAACCCACTTTGCAGCAGGTTTTTTTGTTCTTTTAATTTTCTTCAATTCTGTTCATCTGATGAAGTCTGGATTTGAACTTGGTCCATGGGTGTACCAAGTAAATTAGCCCGTTTGATCGCAGTGCTTTTTCAGTTTTAATCCCAATCCTTCTTTTTGTACTCCATTTCTTGGTTTTGCTTGGGCCAGACGTATGGGGGAGCGCCCCTCCCCTCCCCTCCCCTCTTTTTCCCCCTCTCCTGGCTGTGTATGGCTGTGACTGGATACTTGGTGAATCTTGTAAGCAGCACAACTTGGGGGCTCCAGTCTAGCGAGCTATGGAGGTTCGCATCACAACAGTGCCGTACATCAGATGCGAAACTGCTGATTTTGAACTCCGATCTTTGGAAGGATGCGGAGGAGGCTGGAGGTCAATCGGTCAACAAGAAGGGTGGATGACATTGCCATTCTTACTGGTAGTGATTTTTCCTCTCATGTTTGCTTGCGTATGAATCTGCGTCAATCTGCAGGTGCCTAGCCTGTCGTTGGTATCGTTTGGTCAAGTGAGGGGTGCGCCATGGCCGCAGTCAGATCGGTCGGATGAGAGAATATATTGCACGGGAGCGGAGTTCTTTGAGATTGTTGATCAGGCCGTATGCCGAATGGTGGACTTGAGGAGTCTGCGAGTAGAATGCAACACATGTTACTACTGCAAGAGTGGGTTTAGCATAGAGGCAATTGAGTCATGGCTGATCCACGGTGGTGCGACCTTGGAAAGCCTGACCTTAAATACAAAAGGCGGACGGTTCTGGTTGAACAAGGAGAGCAGAGGGCCTTTGCTGGCCTTGGTACATAGGTACTGCCCTCGCCTCGAGGAACTGGAGGTTGGCGCAATGAGTGAGGTTTTCTGGGATGCCATGTCAATCCTTCCTTATCCGTGGACCAGTTTGCGGCGGCTTGTGCTCGGAGGACTGGAGCTCAGCGGTCTCCAGACCCTCCTTGGCTTTTGTCCCTTTTTGGAAGAGCTTGTTTTGTACAACTGCTCGGGCACCGAGAACAAGGCGGAGTTCCGAGGGCTGAAGAGCTTGCGGCAGCTGAAGCTGACTGTGCAGTCGAATTATGATCGTGTTGCTGTGTTGTCGGTAGTTGTGAAGGTGCCTTGCCTGTCGAAACTCACGGTAGTAGGGGGTGGAGTTGAGTCGGTGATGTTAGAGGGTGCGCATGACTTGGATAGCCTAGAGTTGGAGGTTAGTGAACCACGGGTGGGAGGCGTTGGGAATCAAGACCTTCCGTCCTTGATGATTACCAGCGACACGCGGGTGCGGAAGCTGAAGGTTCGCAGTGGATCCGCACGCTTTGGGTGGACATGGCATACCCTCCGTGGCCTTCTCGACCGGCCGCCGATGTCCAGTCTCGACACGCTCGCGCTGTTGAATGTCATGCTCTGCAAGTGTGGGCCCGCATTTCCTGCAGACCCCTCTATGTCTGGCAATGACGTAGATTACACTGATGTTGGCACGGTCAATCATGTCTACAGCAACATGGCAGCTGTTCATCCGAGCGAGCTGTGCGCCTGCCTCTGCTTTGGCCATCTGCGCCACCTGGAGATATGGGCTTTCCCTTTGCTGAGTCTCGCCATGGGGATCAGGGAATCGACATGTGCTCGCGCGGAGGAGGGAGGTGGATGCGCCAAAGCCGAGGGGATGGTCGTCAAGCAGAGCTCTAGCAATTCGCTGATGCGCAGTAGTGGGTCCTTTCAACTGCATGCTCCATACTTGGAAAGCCTGAAGATTCGCGGACTGATCATGCAACTTCTCTGCGCGGCAGAGCAGCTGGATGTGATGCTCCTTGCCTTCATGGAGAATTGCCCGATGCTGAAGAACGTGCGTGTTGAGGCCACGTGCATTGGACCATGGCAAGGGAACCGGAAGATGTACCAGGCGCTTGTCGAGAAGCTCGGTTATTTGCAGAATAGATTTGGCGCTGTTTTCCAGGTGAGGCGCATCGTGTCTCTCGACAATGTAATTAAGCCGGCGCCCCAGCCAGCAGTCACACCCTGCAGCCGTTGTCTTAGTAACAAGCCCTCCTCGACTTTGGTCCGCTAGCCATCAAGAAACGGGGAGTGATGTTTATGCTGTGTGTTCCACAGTCTGTTTGGACTGACTAGGGTTTGCAGACCGCCAAAGCTACCGTCTTCACCCAAATAGAACGCCAGGTCATTATCACTGCATCTGGACTGCAAGTTGTGCCAAAGACAGCTATAATGAACGGGCGTTCTATTCGGGTGAAGGCGGTAGGGTTTGCACGATTGATCAGAGGCCTGTGAAGGGTAACCCTTTGGCTTACAGGACAAAGATTTTCAACAGCAACACTTTTTACGGGAATATTTGCTCCAGGAAGAAGATCTATGGCAGGAAGATGTAGCGCACGAGGATCTATAACAGGACATTTATGACAGGAAGATTTGCTGGACAGCGGGTTCATGTAGGACAGGAGGACAGGCCACAGGAAGACTTGCTGCAGATATTTTACTCCAGGAAGGCTGGCCTCTCGAAGGTTTACGGCAGGAAGAGGGGCTGCAGGAAGATTTGCTCAGAAAGTTTACTGCAGGAAGACTGGCTGCGGGAAGATTTATGGCAGGAAGATCTACTGCAGGAAGATTAACTGCAGGAAGATTTACGACAGGAAGATTTACGGCAGGAAGATGGGCTGCGGGCCGACTGACTGCATAAGAGTTGTGAATTCTGGCTGCAGGAAATTTCAGCGAAGGAAAATGTACTGCAGGCAGTGCAGGGAAACTGCTGCAGGGAAAATGTGTTTCAGAGAAATTTACTGCAGGGAAAGTAATTGCAGGCAGTGCAGGGACATCAACTGCAGGAAGGTTTGCCGCTGGTGGCTGGTGGAAGATACTCGGATGGTGTTGATTGTCATGCTGTCAGGTAAACATGTTTTTGTCTTCGCGGCCTCTTTGCAGCGTCCATATTCCAACAGCGTAGTGCTAGGGAATTGAGTTGTGGTTGCGATGAGGAACGCAGAGCAGAATTCGTATTTTGACTTGGGTTGCAGTGATCATGCTGCAAAGGCTGGAGAATCTCTCAGGAACCATGTTTTATGCATGCCCCTCAACTGTATGCACTGTGCAGTGTTTGCCCAATGAGCTGTGCATGCGGCATACTAGCCACAGTGTCAATCCCCTCAGGAAAACAAATCCATCTTTTCACTCCTGCAATTCTCTACCTGCTTCCCCTCCTCCTCCTCTTCTCCTTCTCCTCTCTCTCTTCTCTCTTTCTGCTTTCTTGCCGCCTCCTTTCTGCTCTCTTGCCGCTTCCTTCTACTTTCTTCCCTGTCCCTTCCCGTCGCTTCTCATCCTGTGTCTCTCCCTTTCAGAGACCCGTTACTTTGCTGTCCTTCTCCCTGTGGGATGCCCTTTCTGCTGCCTTTCCGTTCCCCTTCGTGTCCACCGTTCTGCTCCCTCTCTGTTCCCCTTTTCATCACCCTTCCTGCAATGCCTTACATACCCTTAGGAGAAGATTATCGACTCTCTTGCGTCGATAGTCAACGCTGTGGTTTCTGGCTTGTCACAGCGGTTGCTGACCTGTGAAACAGAACTGTCGGGTGTGCCGCCTCTGTCAGTGCTGTGTATTCGGCTGCTGTCTGGCCTGGGGTAACGTGTAGTGAGCTATTTAGGAATGGAGTGTTGGGAGGAATGTATGGTGGTGGAGAAACTGTGGAGAGATGAGAATCCTTCCTGCCTGATGGAAGCTGTCCTTCCGTCTTCATAACAACTGGAGCAATCAACAAGAGGTGCTTAGTGCGGGGTTGTAAACCCACCGACTCTATCAGGGTGAGTGATGATGTAAGAACACAGGCCTGAGTTTGAATGGGGATGAGGAGGGAAAAGTCCTGTTGTCCTTCTGCACGTTTGAAACTAACATAGAATCTCTGACTTTGCGTTCAATAAGCCGTTGTGTTTTCCAACTCTGATTCTTTTGACGACTCATCGTTCGAACTGAGGTAAGTTCTGAGTTTGAAGGTGTCAAGTAACACAGCTATAGCCCTGCTCAGCTAAGCATTCTGCCAGCTTCCTCAGCGTTCTTTCTTTCTCTTTGTTTGTTACAAAACCCCCTCCTATGGGTGGGCGAGCCGAAGGGCATGCCTCGTCCACGTGGTGTCGCGGAACCTGTAGGCATCGTTAGCATCCACGTCGCATCGCTTGTTAACCAGCAGTGATGGTGAGACACGCGAGAGTAGACTCTTGTCGGAAGCAGTTGCTGTGTGGTTATGCCAAGCTGCATCTGATTGTCTGTCTGACAAGGGCTCAGTATCTCAGCATCAAGGTTGTTGGGGTTATCAGCAACTTGGCAGAGAAGGTGACGTGTAAGGTACCACCACGTAGGAGGGCCTCTCGTTTCCAGAAGTAACCCGGCAGGCCTGTGTTTTCCCCTCTCAGAGTGTCAAAAACTGATACGGTACGAGGCCTTATTAGGCTCGGTAAGTCAGGTCGGGATATCGGTATGGTTTGAGGCGCCAATCACATCCAGATGCTGCCGTCGACTCGATTTTGTACAACCCTTCCCGTCAAATCGACAGGTCGGTTCAGGTGGCCGTTGGCACTCTCTGCTTGTATTGTAGAAGCCGAAGGTGTGTCCCGACTCCCTAGCACCCTGCATGCGTGGTAGCTGTGTGTGATTGTCTTTTCGATGAAAGCTTGGCATCAGGGCTGTAGGACCAAGAGAGCCATTGGGAAACGTATGTATGGGTTCGAGTTTGCAAGGGGAGCGCCCAGGGAGGGGGCAAGGGGTGAAAGCTGCCATGCAATCTGTCGGGAGAGTTTCCCTCCCTCAGGGGGCGATGCACCGCGGAAAATGAGTCGTTCATCCGAGTCCCTCTGATTTCAGCAAGCTATTGCAATCTCTCAAGGAGTGTTTGAAACTTGAATGTACTTCAGTTTAGTGTTTCTGTGTACTCAGGTTGAGCTCCATTGTACTCGGAACTCTCGTATTACTCGAAGGCGAGACTGACTGAAGTGCACGCTGCAGGTCTAACGGCTTTGAGTTCAAGGATCTTGTGTCGCTTCCCATTTGCTGAGAAGAAACCCATCCTCATCTGGTTGCCAGTCAGCAAGTCAATTGATCAATCTTTGGTAAGTGGAGTAACATTATTCCTCCTGGGTTCTGAAATGAGCCAAGTACTCGTCATGCTCAACTGTGCATACATCAATGGACATTCACATGGGAGCTCACACGTGAGAAGCCAAATCGAGATACCGCCATCACACTTGAAGATGTCGTCTCCAATATTATTATCAATATACAAGAATGTTTATCTCCAGCGGCTCTGCTGCACAAACACACACACACACACACACACACACACACACACACACACACACACACACAGACAGATCTCAATCAGGTGGTGGCTAAGGCTTCTCTCCCTTCTGTCCCACTCTCTCTCGTCTTGTTTCTATCTCTGACTTGGCTTGCTCTGCCTCACTTTCTCTCTCTCTCTCTCTCTCTCTCTCTCTCTCTCTCTCTCTCTCTCTCTCTCTC